AGACCATTTTTTATCAAAATTGCCACTCCACGTGAATTAGAGCCACCGTGACAGGCGATAAGCTCTCCGCCTCATTCATTCTTCCATCGAACAATTGTTTCAAGAGTAGAATGAGTTTCTTGTAGGAAGGTTATGTCTGCATTGCGCTTTCGGGACCAAGTAAAAATTGTTCTTCTTTTTTTAAAATTGCTAATGCCCTTCACATTAAGCGAAATCAGCTTAAAAGACATCATACTTCCGCGAAGTAACTCTGGGACCACAGAAGCTATCAATCAGCAGAAAAAAAGCCACTAACAGACAATATAAATAAATGCAAATTACAAATGTAGGATATAAACAATTTAAAAGCGACAAGCGATTCGCTGTTGCTCGACCTAAATATATAATACAGATAAACCTGAAGGGAAAAAGTAAAGGAGAAAAACGAAAGGAGAAAAAGACAACGATACAAGTACTAATAATAACTAAAGTTGCTAAACACACAATATGAAAGTAAGTAAACAAAATGGGTTTGACGAGCGATCGAACAAGCATAATAATGGTGTATTTGCCTCCTGAAACCGGTCATCTAATTTAAGAGGCTGTCTCTCTTATTTCCACCCGGTCAATTTTGCGTCAAAAATAATTTTGCCTGAAACTCTGTTAACAGAAAGACTTTACTTAGGAAAGAACTAAATTAGATTTGGTTTGATTCGAAATAATTTTCTGATTGCATTACAGGCCATAATTATTTCCCAGTCCGTAGGGACCGTCGCAACGTCTCGAAAATTGAAAAATAGGCATATTTTGTAACGTTGTAAAATATTTGATTCGCGTAGTTAAGCCACAGAATTTATATCAGATTGCTTAAAAACCTTTCTAGTTTGCCAAGAAAGTTAGAATTTTCCCTCTCAACATATTTGAAAAGGCGAATTTTAGCATATTCTGACCACTAGAAATCGCCATCAGCCGATGGCCGTAAATAACCTTGATTTAGACGCCAAGTTTTGGGATTTGGGACCTGGTTGACGATTCTAGCCTACGCAGCCGTTAAGTTTAGACCTTTATAGGCACAAATATGCAAAAACCCCTGTACGTTTTCGATTTTTCAACAGTTATGACCGTTTGAATCAGCACATGTACGAGCATTCGCGATTTTTTCGCCTACACCAAAATCGAACCACTGTAGCAGATTTCGTCATAAATACAGCTTATCCGCTTTGCAGCCCGGCTTCATGGCTCACTTCAGAATTTTTCTAATAACCAAATTGGTGAAATCCATGATAACTTCAACAAATAGCTATGCATCGTGATTCGTGGTATCAAAACAAATGTCGGAATTGGCCACATTTCGCGGTGAATCACCCATTTAACATCGCTGCAGAGCTGAATTTTTTCCAAAATTAGAATATAAACTCTCCATGTCTGGAAGCTGAGGGAGAAATGAAGGTTTTAGGCTTTAGAAATGAAGGCTTTAGGCTTTTTTAATTATTATAATTAATAAATCAATTTCAAATATCCTGAGCTTGCTTCTCTCGGTTCCGCGTCGATTGTGTACACAGAACAGCAACCTGAGAAACAACCGGAGAAATCATGGGTTTATGTGAAATTTCAGATATTCCTCGCTTCCCAAACTGGTGAACTGGACTTTATGATAACTCCAGCAAATACCTCCAAAATTCAGCGGTCGGCATCTGTCGATACTCTTCTTTGACTCGTTGTTGCGAACTAAACTCGAAAACTAAAGCCATGTTTCGCGCCTAATGTTCCGTTGAAACTTTGGATTGCAGCTGCATTCTCTTCAAGAATCAGTCATAGAACTCCACTTGTAAGTCTATGTGTCGAAGTTTGGCGTTTTGGAATTTAAAGCTGAACGATTGCACTATCGCGCATAACAGAGGTCCGCATTAATCATTGCAGGTGAAGCCGCTAACCCTTTAATTTTTTTGGAAGGCCTGCAAGTGTAGTATGGCATGCAAGTGCTTTTTCGAAACCAGAGAGGCTTCAGTCTGTAGTGAGTCTTCAGCGAGGTTGTTAAAGCTTTCATTGGACAGAGGATACGCATTGACGAAACACCCAGTGAAGGGAACAACAGCTGCAGTAAGAATAGTAGACGAATCAAAGAACACTCTCTGCATAAATAAGATTGAGCATTTTAGTAGCTTCCACAACTTCGAATATGGAGATATCGGTCTGAGAGTTTGGAAATGTTATGGCATTGGTAAAGGGAAGTACATTCCATATGACGTAATTTATATCAAGCACCAAGGTCAAACGTCCCTTCAAACCATAGAATCTCAAGGGTTTTTATGATTCTCCTGAAAAGCGTGTGGTCAAGCGTCGTTCAAAGGGCAGCAAGGAAACAGAGAGTACAACGCCATTGTTTGAATGCTCTGTGTTTGGATGTGTTGAAGTGTTCGAAACCTTTTCGCAACTGGAGCTGCACCTGGACGTTGGAAAGCATAAAGTCAGCAGGTTAAAGCCAGTATGATGCAAGGGACTGGGCCCTTAAGTTCTCGTCGATAGATACCGCTGGTATCGAGTGTTCGAGCTGTTCGTTAGATTCTAGTACACCACTCACTGCTCCCGTGGATACTTCGCCCCACTTGTCTTTACGAACAGGATGGGCCGTAAGCAAACCAAGGGGCAGCGTTAGATTTTCAGAGAAGGTAAAAGAATACCTAACGGCACGGTTTACACTTGGAGAAAATGAATCAAATGCACGTTTGTTCACTAGAGAACAGTGGCTGACAAAGAGCCAAGTTCAGAGCTTTTTCTTCCGGCTAGCAGCAATGCGGCGAAACGATCAGGGTGTGATCGGGATATCACTGGATGAGGAGGAAGATATCCAATGCGTCCAGGAAAATTCCGAGAGATGAGATCTGGTAGACAAAGTTAACAAAGAGATCAAAGTCTCACATCCAATCTGCTACGATACGTAGGACCTCTGTGAACGTTACCACAATAACACACTTCACAAATTCAATGTGGTTTTGTTGAGAGCCATCTGTAAAATTGAGAGACAAAAAACAGATCCTCATAGACAAACTGTCGGACGTGATTAGTGATTGTCAGTGTGTTTCTCAGTAGACTTATGTAAACAATGTCTTATACAGTGGCTGAAAGTGTAGAATATTCTTTACAGGTACAAACTACCTTTACTTCCGATATCAAGTTCTGACGGCGTTGTTATAGTGTAATATATTATAATATCTAGTAGTCAGTGAAATGTTTTGATGAAATCGATTGAAAATTTACCAAAAGCAACACTTATAACATCTGTTCATACGAAGCATGTGTCAAGTTTTTAACACTTTGGTAGCAGATTTCTCCGGCTATTGACAGGTTGCTGTTCTGTGAACACAATCGACGCGGAACCGAGAGAAGCAAGCTCAGGATATTTGAAATTGATTTATTAATTATATGATATCAAACTCCAGGTAAAACCATTTATTCTTTTCATCCAAAATTTTTCTGCCCAAATATTACATTGGGATGCAAAACAAAACCATATGGCACAACGTACGGCACAAGCTATCAGCGGTCTTCTCTTTTGTGCGGACCTTTGTGAGAACAGTATAACATCGAACTTGATCTAAATTTAAGCGATTATTTCTTCACTTCAGAAGCCTAAAACCTTCATTTCTCCCTCAGCTTCCAGACATGTAGAGTTTATATTCTGATTTTGGAAAAAATTCAGCTCTGCAGCGATGTTAAATGGGTGATTCACCGCGAAATGTGGCCAATTCCGACATTTGTTTTGATACCACGAATCACGATGGATGCCGCCTACTTTTCGAAGGCAATACCTAGCTATTTGTTGAAGTTATCATGGATTTCACCAATTTGGTTATTAGAAAAATTCTGAAGTGAGCCATGAAGCCGGGCTGCAAAGCGGGTAAGCTGTATTTATGAAGAAATCTGCTCCAGTGGTTCAATTTTGGTGTAGGCGAAAAAATCGCGAATGCTCGTACATGTGCTGATTCAAACGGTCATAACTTTTGAAAAATCGAAAACGTACAGGGGTTTTTGCATATTTGTGCCTATAAAGGTCTAAACTTAACGGCTGTGTAGGATAGAATCGTCAACCAGGTCCCAAATCCCAAAACTTGGCGTCTAAATCAAGGTTATTTACGGCCATCGGCTGATGGCGATTTCTAGTGGTCAGAATATGCTAAAATTCGCCTTTTCAAATATGTTGAGAGGGCAAATTCTAACTTTCTTGGCAAACTAGAAAGGTTTTTAAGCAATCTGATATAAATTCTGTGGCTTAACTATGCAAATCAAATATTTTACAACGTTACAAAATATGTCTATTTTTCAATTTTCGAGACGTTGCGACGGTCCCTACGGACTGGGAAATAATTATGGCCCGTAATGCAGTCAGAAAATTATTTCGAATCAAACCAAATCTAATTTAGTTCTTTCCTAGGTAAAGTCTTTCTGTTAACAGAGTTTCAGGCAAAATTATTTTTGACGCAAAATTGACCGGGTGGAAATAAGAGAGACAGCCTCTTAATAAATAACTGATAATGATTAATGATGAATTTGGTACAAACCCTCTTGAATACCTGTTAATCTTCAGGAAATATTATTAAGCTATTTACCGTTAGATTCAATATATCTAGGTCTGTTCGTATTTGCTTGCACCAAAGGCTGGTGAGATATTAAAGGATATGAAGCAGTCAGTCATAGTATAAACATCGAGTAGCCGGCTCATCCAATTCCCAGATTTTGCTGATTCTAACTGGTCTGGAATCCTCGGTTTTCCGGACAAAAATTTTTCCATCTACAGTCCAAACCCGGAAGATCTTGTTCGCTTTCTTCATTTTCCTTGCCTTGGCCAGGACTTCTTGTCTATACTGTGTAAGGTTCTCGTTTACAAAGATCCTTCCATTCGCATAACCTTGTGCAATTCCAATGATCTCCGTAATATTCGTTTCTTTCAAATGGAATCTGCCTTTGTAGAATTCTCGTCTCTTCTTATATGAAGTGAAACGAACTATTATGGGTTTTATGGCTTACGACTTTCGGAACAATCGATGTACAATGTCGATATCTTGGGTTGTTACATCTACCGACATCTTTAGGCCTATTTTCATAACAATGTCCTGCAGGTTTTCACCTTCGTATTCCGGAACGCCGTGAATTTCGACGTTAAATTTACGCGTGTATTGCTCTAGAGCATTGTGCTTATATTCGAGGGCCTGCACTCTCCTTCCTAGCTCATTTAGTTCACTTTGTAAAGCACAGTTTGATTGAACTAGTTTCCCATTTTGCGTCTTGAGTGCATCTACTTCTGTAGCATGAAATTGCATCGAGGTCTTCAAACTTTCGACGTCTTTTCTTAGTTCCTGATTGTGACTTAAAATCTTCGTAACGTCAGCTTGTATCTTAATTAGAACTTGCCAGATTTGGCTTATGCTGGGTTCTTCTTCCACCGCCGCCATGATTGCTCGGGTGTTAGAGCTCATGGCGTTGCTTTCTGTTGAAGCAGGTCTCTTCGCTGCGGGAGAGCGTTCTTCGCTGGAAGACGTACTACTTACTTCACTTCTATTTCTTCGTCGATTGCGCTTCTTATTTGACATCATATGATCTATTTTCTTGCATTTTTGTCGGCTTTTAGGAGGCGAAAGGGCGCACTAGAAAGAACCACGTCTGTACGCCATGACCTTCTCGTCCCCTATTCAAAGCACAAATGGTAACATATAATTGTAAGGTTTATTATCCCTGATCATCATTAGCGGGGGGGGGGTTGGGGGGGCTGCAGCCCCCCCCTGTCGGAAAAAAAATTAGTATTATTTGGGCAAAACTGATGTACCGTTCGGGCAAAGACTCAGTAAAAAATATTTTATTATTTAATATCTTGATTTATTTGTTTTCATCCCGCAACTCGCCTAATCTTCTAACTGATCTCTGTACTACTTCACGGAATGGCTGTTATTACTCGGAGTTAGAACATTGAGTTCTGCCGAGGGACTGGGAGTGATAATCAAGACCGCGCTGGGACTGGAACTGCGTATGAGTTGACGGCCATGCTAATTTATGTCAGCTCTCAAGTGCATGTGCGTGTAATCTGGTGGGTTGAAGTATGTCTTTGTCGAAGTCTCGTAAAAGATCATATCGATACCGTGTGAAATGCGAAGAATGCGAGAAAGAAATCGACTCCGACTATGTAGAAGCTCATTCCCAATTTGTTCACAGCGGCCGAAAAGTGAAATGTCTGCCAGTGGTAGAATCGTCACAGCTGAAATTAAGTGGTATCTCTAAAAGCAGTGCAGCAGTCGAATCTCCAGGTCAGACACAGGAGGCACCGCTTGTTGGATGTAGTCCAGAGAGTGAACAACGTACTATTTCATCAACATACGAATCTGTTGCAAATATCCAGCCAGATCCTGAATCAATCGACCAAGATTCACTTGATGCGTCAATTAGAGACGTCCAGGAACCTAGCGAGCCCAGTAACCCGATAGATAAAAGCATTCAATCAGATCTCGGAGGGATTGCTGAACTAGAGCCAGAGTCCTCTACATCACCTACGTTGACTACAATGGTACTGAAACAAACTGTTTTACCCGAATATCCGGGCACCAAGTTCAGCAGTGAGTCTTTCACTAGACGATTCCAGCCTGACTGGGAAGTGTCAGATATAAACAGAGGAACTTTCTCGAATTACTCCATTTACGATGCAAAGACTTGCCATGGCTGCAGTCAAAACTCCAGGCGCAGCTCTAGTTGCATGCTCAGTGGACATCACCCACCATCCAAAATGAGCTACTTGCAATAGTGTCAGACCTTGTGCTTAAGAGAATCACGGCTGAAGTCAAAAGGGAAGAGTGGTTACTTTGGAATCATCATGGATGAAACTTCAGACATCAGTAGAAGGGAAGAGGTATCATTGGATGCCTCAGGAACGTTATCAATGGTGAGACAAAAAGAAAATTTCGTTGGTTTCTTTGCCGCTGCTTCTACGGAGGGGAAGTTCTGTACGAGCTCGCAAAAACAGCCATAAATAAGATGGATTTAAGGTTGGAAAACATTATTGCCGTATGCTTTGATGGCGCTGCGAACATGAGTGGGATTCGCAAGGGCATTGCTACGCATATGAAGGAATGTTCACCTCTCGGAATATATGTAAATTGTTATGGTCATATTTTAAATTTGGCTCTTCAGGACACCATGACTGAAATTGAAACTCTCCGTAATGCCCTCGGTACTATCCAGAGTCTTTACAATTTCTTACACGGGAGTACCAAGCGCCATGCGTTATTCAAGGACATTAAACTTTATGAAGAGGATGTTGCGCTTAAATTAAAATCTTTGAGTACCACTAGATGGTCCTGTCGCTGGGCGGCGGTGAGGGCCGTGCTAGAGCAAGTGCCGAGGATAATGGAAGCCCTGGTGACTTTATCAAAGGATCGCGATCCCAAGACCTACAACGAAAGTAATTCGCTTCTCCACTCAATTTGTGACTTTGAGTTTGTTTATGGCTTGATGGTTTTGAAGCTCATCTTATCCAACACTGATAATTTGAGTAGATATCTACAGGGAGAACAGATGGATGTCATCACCACCAAGAACACTGCTGATGCTGTCGTTAAGACACTGAACAATTGTCGCAATGAAGAGAGCTTCACCCAGATGTGGTCACATGCTGATGTTATGGCGCAAAAAATCAGAATAGGAATCGAGGGTACGAAATTTACCTTCAGAGAAACCAAGATGCCTCGAACCAGACCATCACGCCGACTTCAGGGCCTCACTGGCGAGACACCTGCTGCAGCGAACGACAACTCACAACAGACGGTAAAAGACCACTTTCGTATCACAGTTTATTACACAAGTATTGACAAAGTCGTTAGTGAACTTCAATCAAGGTTTGAGGGCAATGACCAAGAGGTTTTGTGCGCATTGGGCGAAATCGTATTCAGCCATTCTCCAAGCATCAACAACATCCGAACTGTATCAAATTTCTATGGCGTGGATGGTGAAATGCTATCAAGTGAGAAGTCAATCTTGGAAAACTACGACTGCGGGGACCCATGCCAGAGAAAAAACGCAGCTGTGATGGTAAAGACCATACATCAAAATGGTCTCCATGACATTTTACCCGTTCTATATAAAGTTGCCTCCATCCTGGCCACAATTCCTGCAACCTCGTGTTCTGCTGAAAGGTCTTTCAGCGCCCTTCGCCGCATCAAGACATTTTTAAGATCCACAATGGGACAAGACAGACTTACCAGTATCGCCGTTGTTAACATTGAAAGAAAGTATGCGAACAAGACAATGCAGAATGATATGCAAAGGATTATTGACATAATTGGGTGTCGAATTAATCGTTCTTCATACTTCTTTTAGAGCTTAAATGGGTACGCTTTATCTCTCACTTCTTGGTTTGGTATTGTAGAAATGTTGATCTCGATTTACCGAAAATACTTGCACTATTTTGAATGCCCGTGCTCTCAAGGTATGGCGAAGAAAACTTGACATCATGAAAGAATCATCTGGTGCATCTGTAACCATCAAGTTTCATTCGGGCAAACTATGTTCCCCCCCAACAAAATTTTTCCTGTACGCTGATGCTGATCATGATTGAAATGTTGACCGAAAGAAACGTTCACGTAGCTCCCCGTAACAGATCGATGACGTGCACTTTTCGGGAAGGAAATCACACGCACGTAGTGCGACTTTCTTGCACGTAACAAAAGGCCGTGGACATTTTAGCAGTTTGTCACACATCGTGTATTCTTTGTTTAGCCCATGGGTAAGCATGATTTTATTAAGAGGATAAATTCGCGTTGTTCAGGGGCATTAGTTCGAGGTCAAAGAGGAGATGGACGCCATATTTACTATTTTGGTGGTGCGGTGTAATCGCCGACTACACCGCTCAAAACAATTCGGATTAAAACGTCATGGTACAGAAACTAATGGCAAAGGAGAGACGTAAAGCCAGAGTCGTTCCCTTTTTGAAAGAAAAATTCGAATCAATCAAAATCTTGGCTGAAAATAAGAAGACCTCAGAAAGGCAGTAAGCTGTCGCATAGTTAACTATCCCGCACATGCAATCTTTCCTTGGAGAACATTAACCAGGGAAGCAAAACACAATGTCTGCGCGTAAGTTAGCTATTTCCTCGGGCTTTGCGCCTATACTTTTTGCGACGTAGTTATCAGTGGGCTCTTTTTTGTTGAGCCGTTAAGCGTACATTTTCAGCGGTTTCAAATTGAAAATGTCAATCTGACATGCGCGAACTAAATTTCCATTGGGGGCGTTTTGAAAAAGCCATGCTATGCTATCTCCTGGATAGGGAGGGGGATCCGCCTCGGGATGTTTGGCAGGGATTATCCACTCAGACCCTATTTCAGATAAAAAAAAGTGCTATTTTAATAATTAGTTTTGTACCTGGCCTCTAATATCCCCACCAGACAAATTTTGCTTGGTTTGAGAATCCTTTACGCTATGTTGTAGAAGAATTTGAAAAGGCTTGTATCAATGCCGAAGTTAAGAAGTTACGAAAATCACCCAAAGAAAACAAAAGAAAAATATCTTTTTCGTACTTGTGATTCACTTTGATTCATGTTGAAAAATCAGCTACGTTTATACCCTTGCGTGGTTTTCTTGAAAAACATAGTTACCTAATTTTAAACCAAAATGGTAAAAATGTACACCGACCTGTCTTTGTACCAGAACGGCTTAAAACCCCTATATTTGGGGGCACCATATACCTCTATAACTTATTTATTACCAGTACTCCTTCTCAACTATTACGCAGATTAAGTGTTAATGTCGTAAAGTCAAACCATCGTTGAGAAAGACAAATCATTTTTTCCACAAGTTAGCAAATTTCGAAACGGTCACAATTAGCTTCCAACAATTAGCCTACATTAACTTAGTAATTTAGTATTATCAGCTGACTTGATTGCGTAAATTGTCCACTGTAAAGAGTTTAAACGCTTTTGAACTCTTTAAGGCGGCTTATTTACGTTATCAACTCAAATGATAATACTAAACCACCCTATCATACTCTCCTACCGACGCAGCACCACAGTTTCTTTAGAAACTTACCCCCTTTATGCATTAGTTTAGGATAGACTCGCCTTTCTACAACAAATCGATTAATAAACAAGTTAACTGCATCCAAAGGTCCATGAAGCTAATGTCACGAAAATCAATCGAAAGGGACATGTCGGTTATAAAGCCTTAAAACTGAGAGAAAACAACGCTTTTAATCCTTTAACTCCCGCGAGTGACCAGGGGAGAACATTTCCTTACTATATCTATACAATATCATGCAGACAGGTAGTGAGAATAAAGAAAAATTTCAAATATGGGATTACTAATTGATCCAGTACCAAATTCTCCAAAGTAACATAATGAGAATCATTGGCAGACAGTAAAGAGAATTACTAATGAGATCGTGGGAGTAAAAGGGTTAAACTCACATGAGAAAGAAGGGGCGGGAAAAATTATACGCGCGCAAAGCACATAATAATTTACCTTGTGGCGCGTAAATGGTAGCTACACCTTCACCCTCCCCTCCCCCCCTGGATGGTGATGGTATCTTTCTTTAAGTTCCCAGAACATTTTAAAGCACATTCAAGTCGTGCGTTATCTTCAGCTCCTGGATATTGCAACAAACTAATCTCCTGTGACTTTCACTGATTTAGGTCGCTGTAATTTTGTAAGGCTGAATTTTCTTAATTTTGTCCAGCCCTTTACCCCCCATGAGTAATCAATAGAAAAATTTTTCCTCACAATAACAAATAGCCTGCGTTGCTGGTGGTCTGCGGTTTTTCTATCCACCCCCAAAACCGTAGACCACCAGCAACGCAGGCTAAATATCAAGACAATATCAAACCTAGAAGTGATGGGAATAAACAAAAATATCAATTAGGGGATATTTAGTTGTTCCATTACCAAATTTTCCAAATAGACATCATAAAAATTGGATAGCAGTAAGTAAGGAGAATAACTAATGAGATCTCGGAATTCAAGGGTTATAGATTTCCAACTGAAAAATTTTGCGACCAAGTTACCGCCAGCTAAGTACTCAATCGTAATACCATATCTTAGTAGTTCGTTTACCTGCGAAAAAGTCCATGTATCTTTTTTGTCTGCCCATTTATTCAATCATCTGTATGTTAATCCACCTATCCACGGCTTCATTCCTCAATCCATCCGTCCGTTCTGCCGTCCTTAAGCCAGTCTATCCCTTCGCCTCTCCATCAGGCCCTCTGTCTTTATTTCCCGTGTCTGTCTGTCTGTCTTTCCGGTTGATCTTTCCTTCCCTTCAGTAGCTTGAAATTTTCCGTTGGCTGGCTGATTTTTTTTCGGTGGTGAGTAAGCGACTACTTCAGTCTCCCTACAGGTGTTGGAAAACCTTATCCCCGTGTAAGCCTATAAATTCCTTCGAAACAAATATTGGTGCACTATTGTTAATCACGTTCAAATACGTTAAGATTACTCTCTAAGGTTTCTCATCTTGTCGAATGCGCAGAAAAGACAAGGATTGGGCCAAGCAACGACAATAGCCGCCAGATAAAGGGGAGTTCAGTTTAAATGCTTCGGTTTGGAAATACACCATCAATTATCAAACATGCTCGTGGCACCAAAGGATTTGCTTGAAAAACTTCCAAACTTCGATGGCTAAAACCTTGAGCAAAATTTCCCGTTGAGGGCTCCAAGCAAGGACTTCTATGATCAAGTTGGCTAATCATTTGTCAAGAAATTTGTGGTCAGAAGAAATCCATTGACCAACACGGTAAGGTTTGGAGCTTATGATTATGTTA